CCTCCACCCCCCACCCTCCCTCCACCCGCTCGGGGCTGCCCCTCGTGCGTGGCTAACGCCCGGCTCTCTTTGTGCTTGGCAGAGCTCTCCTTACGACGCCCACACGACGGGCATGAGCGGGGCCATCAGCTACCACCCCTACGGCAGCCCGGCCTACCCGTACCAGCTCAACGACCCGGCCTACCGGAAGAACGCCACGCGCGACGCCACGGCCACGCTGAAGGCCTGGCTGCAGGAGCACCGCAAGAACCCCTACCCGACCAAGGGCGAGAAGATCATGCTGGCCATCATCACCAAGATGACCCTCACGCAGGTCTCCACCTGGTTCGCCAACGCCCGCCGACGCCTCAAGAAGGAGAACAAGATGACCTGGGCGCCCCGCAACAAGAGCGAGGACGAGGCGTCGGACTTGGAGGGGGACGGCGGCGGCGGCGGCCTGCGGGCCAAGGAGGCCTCGGACAAAGGGCGGGAGAGCAACGAGGCGTCGGCCGAGGACGAAGGTAAGGGAGGGACGGGGGGGGACTGGGAGGCGCCGGCCCGCAGACAGGACCCCCCTGGCCCGCAGGACCGCGGCCTTCCCTGGAGGGCAACGCCAGGCCTCCTCCTCCTCCTCCTCCTCCTCCTCCTCCTGGGGCGTCGCAGGGGCTCCCGCGGGAGCAACCGGTCCCCAGGCCGCCGCAGGAACCCCTCGCCTGCGCAGGAAGCCCGCAGCGCGCTCTGAAGCGGCCCTTTGGCTTTCTGCCGCCCGCAGCCCGTCGCCTTGCCCCGGCTTGCCGTCCTGCGCGCACCGCTCCCCCGGGTCTCAAGGGCCAGGGCTTCCCCTGGAGAGCGACCGTCGGAGGACTCGCCTCCTGACGGCGCCAGACAACCACCGTCTGTCTCCAGCCTCCAGAGCCGGACGGGTTCCTTTTCTTCCCAGGAATCCTCACCGCAGCTGTGAAATAATAGTAGTAATAATAGTAGTAATAATAGTAGTAATAATAGTAGTAATAATAGTAGTAATAATAGTAGTAATAATAGTAGTAATAATAGTAGTAATAATAATAGTAATAGTAATAGTAATAACAACAGTATTAATAACAGTAATAATAATAGTAATAATAGTAATAGGAGAGGGGGGCGTGGCCCTTTAGGCCCCTCGGTCAAGCCCCGAGCGGGCTTTGAGGAGAGCGGTGCCAGAGGCTCCAGGCCGGGGGAGGGAGCGAGCTGGCGGCAAGGCTGCGTTGGCCCGCCTGGGCAGGCTCCTCGGGGCTCCAAGGCCGGAGGTGGCCGCGGGGGGCGGGGGGTCGGCGTGGCTGCGCGGCCGGGTCTCCTTGACGTTCTCCCTGGTTTTCCGCGGCAGGGATCAGCCTGCAGGTCGACTCCCTCACCGACCACTCCTGCTCGGCCGAATCCGACGGCGAGAAGGCGCCGGGCCGGGCCGGGGACCGGCTTTGCGAGTCGGGCTCGGAGTGTAAGGACAAGTACGAGGAGATCGAGGAGGACGAGGAGGAAGACGACGTCGAGGAGGACGACGACGAAGAAGAAGAGGAGGAGGAGGAGGCGGGCCGAGGCCTGCCCGCCAAGCCGGTCACCTCGTCGCCTCTCACCGGGGTGGAAGCCCCGCTCTTGGGCCACCCGCCGGGCGAGGACGCCTCCCGGAACGCCAGCAAAGCGCTCTTGGACGGACGGCTGCCCGCCTCGGCGGCCTCGCAGACCACGCCGGCCAGCAAGCCCAAGCTCTGGTCGCTGGCCGAGATCGCCACCTCGGACCTTAAGCACCCGCCGCCTCCACCGCCCGGCCTGGGGCCCAGCTGTCCGCCCGCCTCCGCCCCGCACAGCGCCGCCTACCCGGCCTCGTCGCTCCTGGGGAGGCATATTTATTACACGTCGCCTTTTTATAGCAACTACACAAACTATGGGAACTTCAATGCCCTCCAGGGCCAGAGCCTCCTGCGATACAACTCCGCCGCCGTGGCCTCCGGCGAGGGACTGGGCCAGGCCGGCTTAAGCGGCGGCGGGAGCGCGGCGCACAAGCAGGGGGCGGAGAACTCCCTGAAACACCTCGCCAGCCACCTCGAACAGCACTACAAGCCCTCCGGTTCGGACGCGAAGAAAGGTAGGGAAGAGGGGTCCGTCCGTCCTCCCCCCCACACACACACCGCCGAGTTTTGTCTTACGGGGGTAGCAGGGGGTCGAGTCTGGGGTCATGGGGGGAGGCTGTTTTGTTTGAGGTGGCAGGGTTTGGGGTTTTTTTCCCACGGGGAGGCCAGCGGGGGCCAGCCGTGCCAACGGAGCGCCAGAACCGCTGCTCCCTCTTAAGCTGTGGAGCCTTGTGGGCAAGAATTCTACTGCTGTGAGCTCCTGGCATGAAAGTTGTGAGCGAGCGAGTTGGCTGCTGCATAAATTAGTCTGCTCCGGAGCCCTCCTCCCTGAGCGAGGACAAAAATGTGTGAGCCCGAGGCTAAGGAATTGTGAGCTCGCTCACACTAGCTCAGCTTAGAGGGAACCCTGGGAGAGTGGCGCGGGGCGCAGGGCGGACTGTCTTGCCCTGTCGGGGCACCCAAGGGCGGCCTGCGAGCGGCGGCTGGGGTGGGATTGGGGGGCTGGGGTTGTTTAAGCGCTTTCTGGGCGGGCTGAGCATTGGCGCCGGGGTGCGGGGCGGGCTGCCCCCGGTCGGGGGGGGGCAAAATGTCTCTGCGATCAGTGGGGCTTTCGGTCCGAGGAATTAAGAACACTTTTGAGGACTGGCTTGGAAGTAAGTTGTTCTCCCTTAGTAAAAGTATTTATTTTAAAAAGAAACTATTACGAAAAGGGAAATGCGTGTTTTTTAATTAAAAGAATTATTGCTTTTGTTTCAGAGAGGGGAAAGGTATATGTATGGATTTATTTTAAATTTGGTAGATATCTGCATGCGTTGGCTTCTTTTGACATCCCTAAGCCAAAGGGCAGCTGGGCCTCAGGGTGGTGATGGAAATGAATGTTGTTTTTAAAAAGCGCCCTGCTCCAAAAACCCTGCGAAGGCCGCAGCTCTGAGCGCCTGCTCCGAAGAGCCTTCAGTCCAAAGTGAAAGTTCGGGGGGTGGGGGGAGGCTCGCTGCGGGAAAGGTCGTGCGGCAGAGTGCCCAGTCCTTATCGGGAGCCGCCAGCCTCCTCCCGAGCCCGGGAAAAGGCTCGGCTCGAGCGGCGGGGCGGAGTGCGGGGGGGGGAGCCCTGCGGCCCCCGGAGTGGATAATCCGGTTAGTCCGCTGCGTCCTCCTGTGTGACTAACCGGCGCTTCTGTTTTGACAGACCCCTCTGAAGTGTGCACGGTGGGAGTGCAGATTATTATTATTATTATTATTATTATTATTATTATTATTCTGCCGAGCAGAATCATTTTGGCACCCGCTGTCAATAAATGGCCGGGCCTGTGGATTTACTGAATGTCAATTTCTTGCTCCATTACCAAGGAGTAGGGCTGCAAAGTGAAGCGGCTGCCTTTTCAGCGCCTCATTTTAGACATCCGTTTCGTTCTTGTAGTTTCAGCCTGTATATATAGATGTGTGTGTGTGTGTGTGTGTGTGCATGTATGTATGTATACACACACACACACACATATAGATACCAAATACTGAAAGATGCATGTGATTTGCAAGACGCAATTTCCTTGAAAAACAATTAACCAATATTGCAACAATTGTAAATAGTTTTTGTGTGTGTGTGTGTGTGTGCGTGCTGGGCGCACTAAGCACAACAGTTGCCATTCTTGCAATATTCCTTAATTGTTTCCCCGGGGAAATGGCGGCTTGCAAAGCAAGAGCGCAGCCCCCTTGGGACCTTCTCCGGCCCGGGCCCCGCTGGGATGAAGGGGAGCGCGCTGGGCTACACTGCTCGCTGGAGACATTTGCGGGCCATGCCCTAGTGAAGGACTGCGGGACTTTCTGCGAGGCTATAGGAGTCTGGCGGCGGCTTCTCTTAAAGGACAAGAGAGCGCCAGCGCGCAGGAAATTAGCTCCCGTCCGACCTTCCCCTTCCTCAGGGAGGGGAGCTGCAGAAAAGCGTGGCGCAGCTCTCAGTCATTTTCACCAGGGACTTCCTTCTCATTCTTGACGATGCGGAGTGGTAAGAACTGTGCATCGTTTTCTTAAAAGTATGGGGCATGCCTATATGCATTGCAAATAGCGGGAGGGACAATGAGATGCATTCTGGCAGGGTTCCAGAGAGAACAGAATGCCAGTGGACTGCCTGCGCTCCCCCTCCCCCAGCAACTATGGTTACCATTAAAGAAAAATCTTGTAGCCAAGTATTTTGCTCCCCCCGCCGCCAAGCCCCTAATCCTTCCATGGCCAGGAGGCAGGATAAGCATTTCAGTTTGCCTTCCATTTTTAACCCTGGGTGCGTAACTGAAGGATTGTGGATGATCTGGTGTTTTCCTTGGTCCACAGGTAGGTGTCACAATTGCTTTGAGAAAAGTCAACAAGCCATCAGCTCTATTCTGTCTCTGTCTCTAAACAAAACTCTAAACCCGGATCACATCTTGTGCCACTGTATAAAAGAAGACCACAGAGCACTAATAAACGGACAGTCTCTAATAATTAAACCAGAATTTTGTTGGACATTATGTGAGTTTGCTGGTATAGTCTAGTTTCCCTAATGTATGTGTGATTTTAAACAAGGAGGAAGAAGAAGAAAACATACACACACACAAAACAAATCTGTTTTTTCTCAGGATATCTTGAATCGATGACTTCATTGCCACGGTATATATATCGATATAAATATATATATTCTGTAGGTGTGATAGGATTTATTGTACAAATTCTTTGTTAAAAGATGCATACAGTAGCAATTAAAAAGAAACCGTGATCGAAGAACTTGAGTACTTACAAAGTGGAAAAAATTTGATATTTATTTTTGTAATGATATAAGAGCTTCTAGTAATTTATGCAAGTTGTATTGCAATGCAATCCTGATTCTTTTGTAAATAAATTATGCCTGGTTTTTATTTGAGACATTGATGGTTATACAAGCCCTCGTTGTTTAACGAGAATTCTTTACTAATTTATATCTTTAATTGTAAATAAAAAACAGACTAGTCTGCAATGACATAGTAGGATATATTTTTTTCCCCATTGCCAGCAATTTTTATTTTAAACTACAGGTGATCTGTGAAATATTATTGGTGCAAGAACTTTGAATAGACCATTAAATGTTTATAATAGGAGCAAACTGGCTAATTAAAGTTAGCCGAAGAAACGTATTTTAGGACAATGAAAATATACAAGTTAATTTGTAAGGCTGTGTACTTGCTTTACACGATACATGTAGCATACTTTTAACGGAATTCAGAATGCTGTTCCCATGTATGCATTTATCTTCGATTTTGATCAAGATCTACCCAAACCCTGAAAGGTATAACAATGTACCCGTAGCTTCCCCCCCCCCCCTTTGAAAGGGCTTCTCCTCCCCCTCCTCCCATGTCTATCATGTGGGAGTCGCCTCCGGGATCCGCCTCTATTAGGCTTCTAAAAAAGCCAGACAATCTCCTCAAGCCCCCTCCCAGGAAATAATGAGAATCCCCATATAATATCATTTCAATAAAGAGACAAACCACCATTTATATTCTCCCCCAAAGATAAATTGAGTGAATATAACTTACCGTTATGAAACAAGAATAATAGGTTCTTAGATTGCCCTTTAATCAATCATACACTTATTTTTTTCAAGAGCCTCATCTATTTTATTCCATGATTAATAATGTTCCAGGGCGGAGGCATTATGAGATCGCAGCAGGGGAGATCGCGGGTGCTTTGAGCTGCTTCGGAATGGTCAGTTGGGGTTCATTACGGGCTGATATTGAACAATTTATAAAGTCTTGTCTAAACATCTGCCAGCTCAGATAGGCCGATGTGTCTGAAGATGGGAAATTGCTGGACCAGTTGATATTGACAAACGGGGCTCTCTCCAGTGGCTTTTTGTTCACTGAAAATTGGTGGCCTTTTGCTCCGGGGCTTGTTAGAAAGGGCATTTGAAAGTGATCTTAGAGACTTTCGACTTCAGCCGGGGGGCGTTAACTGGATAAAGAGCTATACCAGTGTGTGTGTGTGTGTGTGTGTAGGGGGGGGGGGATGATCCTGTCATTACAGGAAGGTACGGTACCATTTATTGCATCTGAAAAATTATTTGTGTTGGTATTGTTACTTACAATATAATTATTGCATTATTTCACCCTTGCTGTGCTTCGGGCTTTGAAGACTGGCCTTACCACAACAGAGGTCTCTGCCCCGAGGATCTCCCATGTGAGGGGAAATTAACCCCAAACTTGACAGGGGATCGTCCAACTCTTTACACGGCCGTGTGAATAGAACCAGCACTTTTAAGAAGGGTTTTGAGTCCAGGTGGATTGCGATCCGCTCCTCTGAGCAATGCAGGGGCCCATTTCGGAATTGGGCGACAGAGTTACCTTCCAAACGTCTCTCTCTCTTTGGTGATAAAGGCGCTCCCAAGATAACATGGTTGGAATCGTAAGCAAGATCGATCGGCTCAGAACGAAACCTGTTCTCCTTCCCTCACCTGGCCGCCGGTGGGGTACTGCAGGCAGAGCCCGGAGAGCGAGGCAAGGAGGTGGAGCCGGCCGGTCTTTTCCCTTTGGGCGACTGTCGCCATCCACTCCCGGGGGGCTGCGCGCAGGAGAACTACCTGCCCTGCCCACCTGGCTCCCTCCCAAATGGCAGCAAAGTTCATATGACTTAACTCCGGGATTTGCGCTTTTGCCTTTGTAACGTAGTTTTTTTTAAAAAAAATCAGTTTCCCTCCCCCACCCCCATCTGAAAACGTGGGTTTAAAATGATCTGGTATTAAAATTCTAGCGAGGGGTGTTTTATTAAAGAAATCCTACCTCCGCGAGGGAATGTTCTTTCTTCCGGCGGATGGGTGCTAGAGAGACCTGGTGGTTTTAGCCGGGAAAACAGCTAAACTGCCGATCCCCGGAGCAATATTTCAGTTGAAGCTGCTCCTTCTTCGTCCTCTTTGCCACCCGCCCTCTTTGGGAGCCAGTCGGTTTCATTTCTTCTTTTTTTAAATCATTCTGTAGCAGAGATTAGGAAAGCTAACGCCTCTCCTTTGATGTTTATTGTCCAAAGCATTATCAGATTTCCATAATTTACTCACCTTTTGCTAGAATTTACACCTGAGACTGATTCCTTCCTTCCTTCCTTCCTTCCTTCCTTCCTTCCTTCCTTCCTTCCTTCCTTCCTTCCTTCCTTCCTTCCTTCCT